TTGCTGCAGCTGCTGCTTCCCTCAGGATGCCTCACAGATGTGTAGGAGCTATTTTAAGCTTCTTCCCCCACCTCAGCCATTACCTCAAGGCAGAAAGCAGCAGCACCCCATGGCAGGATTTAGTCAGGGCAGAGTCATGATGTGACCAACACCACTGTCTGCATGGCCACCTGCCAGCTGGGGGCTAAACACTGGCTGTGACAACAGGTTCATGTCACATTTCCGTTATCCAAAAGACCATTTTCCTTCCACAATCTTTTGCCCAACACATTTTATTGCCAATAGCAACAAAGCAGTATCTGTTCCCATAAAATACAGGTACTGCTAAGCTGAAAAAAACCTCCCAACCCCTCAGATCTCAGAGTAATTAGTATGTAGACATGGAAATTCTTAATAACACGTTAACTATTGTTGGAAAGATAATTTGTGGGAGTTCTTAAGCTCACTGGTTGGCATTGTTGAAAAGACAAAAAAGTTTAAAGCCTTTCTTTGCACACCATCCAATTTTTATGCACTAAATCAGCTAGAAGTAGAGCCAAACTGAAAAATTTCTGCCATTTTATGCACCATGGAAACAAGAAACCTGTCAATCTTCAATTACCTATTCTACATCCATTTGAGATCGATTTCTGCTGTGGGAGTATAGCCAACAGGTTCAGATCTACAACCTGTGTTTGTCATGGGAGATTGACATAGTTTATTTTTTGTTTCATTCTCAAATAAGTACAAATATTAAAACATAAATCAGATTAATGTCACGGTGCATGTTAAACTGCATTGCAGTTTAATAAAGACTATAAACTTTTCTTCTCATGTAATTTCTTACAGCAATGTCAACAAGAGGATATAAAAATATTCAAAGTGTTCATCTATAAATCCCACTGTGATAAAACTGCACAATGATTTCCTAAGTAATCTCATATATTCAGATTTTCTTCTAGAGCTGAAATACTTCTTGCTTGAGCCCTATGAAAGCTACTTATTTTTAACAGCTCATACTAATTTAGTATTTTTTCCCCATAAATTAAACACTGCCACTTTTTAAACTAGAGATAATTTGTCTGATGGACTACTTTAGCCTGAAGGTCTACTGTGTTTAATTCAGAGCTTTTGTACCTTTCAAATGCTGGTGCTCATTTGTGAAACTGTCAAAAGTACATTTTAAAATCCTCAGTATAAGAAGTTCTTAAAAGAACTCACATGCTTCAATATCATGTGCATCATCCCTTTCAGTGGGATTCCCCAAAGTCATGCACAGCTTAAGTGCTTTTCTGTGTCAGGTTTGAATCTTTCATGTTAATTAAGAGTGCTCCAAGCAGAATGAATGGTTATGACTGCCTACCGTGCTCACAGCAGCTACAAGGCTCTCTCAGCTTTGACTCAAACCATTAAAACAGAATGAGCAGTGATAGCACATTTTCAATGTCTCTAGCAATACAAAAGGCAGGCAAACCCAGGTGAGGTGATGTGGACAGGAAGGTTTAGATCCTCCTTCCAGGCACAAGAAGATTCAGCAGGGCAGGTGATACAGGCATAACTCTGCTTCTTTGAAAGAGGGTAGTAGTTGAATGCATAACTAGCTCTCCCCAAATGTTACCTCCTGAATCTCTGATTTCACCAGTATGCCAGGCAGCAAACTGGGGCAGGCAAAGAGCAGACATGTATGTATAACTGAACACACTGTTTCTGTATTCACATACTAAAATAAGAGTGAAAACTCTTTCCCAAGATCCACATGACAGTGTGTCTTCATCTGTGGTGCGCAGAGATTTTGTGATTACAAATAGCAACCCAGAACAACAACTAATCATTTACCAGAGAAAACCATCGTTGCTGAACAGTTACACTCTGTAGGTCTTCACAGCAGAATCAAGCAACTTTCTGGAGACACCTGTTATCCACAACCAGGTATTTGGTTCCATACAGGTGTAAGTGGGCGAAGTAGCAGCTCAGACTATTCAATATACTTCCCTTTGGATTAAAATTCATTACTTATTAATGGCATTTTAAATATGCACTATCTGGCACAAAGAATATGGTCTTTGAAAAACTCTGATACTGATCAATTACATAACATTTCCATAATGATACAGGAACACTGAAGCGTTTTCTCCTTTATGTACTTTCATGTGATTTCTTAAATCCCAGATGGAGAATAATTTGTCTTCAGTATACTTGTAGTTGAAGCACTACCAGTCTGACATTTTGCTTTCAGGTTCTAGCAACATCAGTATTGAGATCAGAGGTATTAAAACTTAGAAAATCTGACATGTTATGTCAAATTACAAAGACAGTATCTGAGAGCAAATGGAAGAACAGACAGACTGAATTAAGTAGCAGAAAAGGGGAAAGTAACAGAATTATAGGAGGGAAGATAGGGACAAATGTACAAAAGTGAAAGATTAAACAAATATTCTAGCGTAATCAGATGGGTGTGAAGAAAAAACACTAAACATTGTTGAAAGCACAAATGTAGGGATACAAATTCAGACGTAAAACATGTAGCTACATACAGTATGGGCGTTGTCCCCTTAACATTTATGCACATACAAGATTTTATTTGCAACATTTGCATAAGCTAGAGGGTAATACTCATGTGAGTAATATGTACAAGAGGTAGCAGGATTTGGCCTCTCACTGTTTTTCCTTGTGTTCATCATGTATATCTGTAAAACATTTAAGCAGGCGTTTCAACTTCGAAGAAGACTGAACTTGGAAATAATGGGACCTAAGGGAAACCTTTCCAGGAAAGCTGGTGGAATTGCAGCTCTGCAAAGCACCGAGAGGAATACCCTAAGGACTAATTATTTGACAATTCAACTAATGGTATTACTTTGAAGCATAATAAAGTTAAACCTGCAGCTTGTGTGGATGTGCAGTACTTGCTGGAGGAAAGCACAATCGATGTGTGAATCCAGAATGGGAGAATCCTAATTAACCCTCTAACTGCTAGCAGCAGGAAGGCTAATAGCAACTCTGAAGTGGCGCAAGTGACTTAATCCTAAGGGATTGCTTCTGTTAATGAGACACTGTTAGCTGTCCTCAGCCGTGTTTACAGCACTGAGGCACCTTCAGAAGGCAATAAACAACTGCTTTGCCTAATAGCAGGCTGGGATTCTCCTGAGTGACAGAAGTTACTGTCCGAGTGACAGGAGTTATTGTCCTCGTCCTACAGATAAGAAACTAAAGTCCCGTATGCCACTTCCCATGATCCGCTGGTTGGGCCAGGGACAGACCGTTTAGGATGACACTACAATTCTCCTCTAGAAGATTACATCTGATGCTCTTCTGGGAATACTGTTTTACAGGATGTTAAAAAACATGAAGCATAAAAAAACCCCAAGAGAGTCTGTCTTTAGTAATACAATAATTAAACTTCTTACAAAGTATTCTCATTTTGAAACTACAAAAAAAAGACTTTAAAAGTCTTTAATCGAGTAATCAAAACCCATGACCTTCCTTCTCCAAGAGTTTCTGGCTGTGTCTTGACAAAACAGCACAAAATCTCAATATTATTCATATGGGTACCCAAAATATATGGAGCCAGGCTTCCCAATACTACTTCCCTTTCTCTCAGATGGTTCAGTAGTCTTCTAGGCTTTATCCTATCATTTCTATCCACCTCTGCTAGTACTGTGCCTCAGCTTCATTTGCACCACTAGAAAGATGCAAAAGATAGGCTTCTACAAGACTAAACAAAAATTAAAACCAATATAAAAAATAAAACACTTTAAGAGCAGTCCTCAAGGAAGCTACATGTTTTACTGTTTAATTTCTTCAAGATATCTATGTTGCAAAGTGCAGCTAGAAACACTTCTACAAAAATCAAATTAGTCATTTAGCACCATCCACAGCAACCACTTAGACAAGACTTTTCTGCAGCATACATTGTTTCCTAAAAAATATTAAATAATTATTTCAACTGATTTTATTGTTTCAATTACAATGTTCAGACTTCGCTAACTATTGCAAAATACACAAGTTTAGTTACAGAAAGGATGGATTTCAGAAGTCATAATATTGTGGGCTTTACAGAAAATATGTTTTCCTTGAAATGATACTTGAATATCCTTGAAGAAGGAATTACCTCCAGCCTATAAAACAGAATTTCTGGCAACACTCCATAAAGTAGAACACAGTGACCTCTAAAAATAAGCCATGGTGCTATCAGCAGCACAGATTACTTTTTTCTGACAGAGAGAGCCCAATGCATCCAGAAATTACTCAGAGGGGCCACAATCAGCCACAATCAGCCAGCAGCAGGTTCAGCCATCCCAGCTGCCCTGCCATGCCATGACAAGGGGCTCAGCCTTGTCACCGTCCAGCCTGGGCACACCCTGTGTGGTGGCAGCTCTGTCACAAGGGTGCCAGCAGCAGGCCTGTGGCAGGGAGTGCTGCAGAGCCACCGTGAATGGGATGGCAAGTCAGGAGGTGTATTTCTGTTTGTGTAAATATATGCACGTGTTTGTGCTTTCATACACACGGACCTACATACACACATCCATGCACAATGTGCACCAACAGATATGTAGACACACGTATCTAAAATCACAGAATGAGCTGAGCAGGAAGGGACAACAAGGATCATTGAGTCCAACTGCTGGCCCTGCACAGTATCACACCATGTGCCCAGAGCACTGTCCAAGCACTTCTGGAGCTCTGTCAGCCTGCTGCTGTGGCCACTGCCCTGGGGAGCTGTTCCAGTGCCCAGGCACTCTCTGGGTGAAGAACCTTCTGATACACAACCTAAACCTGCCCTGGCACAACTTCAGGCCGTTCGCCCGGGTCCTGTCACTGGGCTCCAGAGGAAACCACGGTGTTGAGTCCCCCGTTGCATGTCCCTGCGCTCCCCCCGCCCCCAGCCGCGGCCAAGGCTCCCCGCACCGCCGCCGCCCCTCGCTCCGCCCGGGGCCTGAGGCGGGCGGGCCTCACTCGGTGGCGCCCGGCCCCCGGCCCGTCCGCACACGGCGGCGGGCGGGGAGCCCCGGCCCCGGCCTTACCGCCGCCCTTCTGCCCGTTCTCCGCCATGGCCGCAGCGCCGCGCTGTCGCCATGGCGACGCGGGCCTGCTCGGGCCCTGTCCTCGCACCGCCGGCTGTCGGGCGTCGCTGCCCGCCGGGCTGAGGAGGTGACAACGTGTCCGAAACCCTTGCACGGCCCCCACTGCAGCCCACCGCCCTTCCAGATAGCGATCGAGTGAACCCCTTCGACCTGCCACTGCAAAGGACTCAATTTCTCTTTAAAATACAGCTTTCCCCAGCAGTTGTGGAGATTTCCATGTGTCTGAGCTTTAGAAAGTGAAAGAACACTTTATTCTAAATGCCATCACGCCAAAACAGCTAAAATATTCTGTCTTAGTGATATTAAATAAAACTGTGTGGTTTAAATTTAGCTGTGAGTTTTAGCAGACAGGCTTGCAATGCCTGGTTCTTCTGACTCTAAAACAACTGTGAAAGTATAAAAAATACAAATAATAATATACTGGTAAGATGCAACCATATATTCCTAGAAAATAAATATTTATTAAACTGCTAAAGCTAAAACCTTGTCCTACTACAGCAGGTGCTTGTCAGATGTTCAGTTTTGCAAAGCCCGCGTGGATGACTCCTCCTCACACACTCAATTCCACCTCTCGAACACTTAATGATGTTCTCAGTATTCATAGAAGCCTAAAATTTTAAAAAACACATGGAGCACGAACAAGTCTTCTTTGATTAAAAAAAAAATTAAAAAACAAAACACCTTTTTATAACATTTTAACATTTGCTATTTGCCTTTCAGCCACTTATTTTTGCAATTTTTTATTGAACATGGCTCAGAGTAAAGAGGGTATAATAGATACCCAAGAGAATACATCTTTATTCTGTTGGGAAAACAGCTGATTTTGCTCTCTAACAAACCTGATCCCTCTGAAAGGTTATCTACTGACTTGAACAGTTTATTAAAGTAACTAAATATTTCAAACTCCATGTCTGACTGCAGGAGTACAGATTTGTTTTCTCTCAAATTGCTAACAGAAATTTTGGTGAGAATAGCATGGCAGACGAATTTGGAGGATGCAGCAGCAGAAGAAAAAACCTTTATCTTTCAGTCTTACAGGGGTCCTATTTCTTATTCCCTTAACACCTCCACACAGATAACTTGTCTTTCCTGATTGTAGGTCTATGGTGGTGGGTCAGTCACGTGTTTAAAGCTGGAGAAAAATGCAAAATACATTGTTTTGGCAAGGATGGACCTCTCTTATCTCTTTCCTCCCCTAAACAAATGTAGAATTTCATGTTCTTGAATACTGTGCCATTATTTTCCAGGTCATTCATCACAGGACACTTATAACTCTTCTACAAATGCTACACTAATTCAAAGTATTTACTACATATCCCTCAAAAACCTTAGTGAAATCCTGTTCTAGTTATTTGGGTTTTCATGACAAATCCATGCCCAAAATATCAACAACTCTCAGTTTTAAAACAAATACAAGTATTGCATATTGTGCTTATTTATTGAGATTATTGCATGTTCATAGTAGATTTTGAATGGATGTGAGTCACTGCAACTGTGGCATGGTATGACAGTAACTCCACTTGGGCATCCACCTCTAACATCTTCCCAGCAATTTCTCCAGGGCTTGCACTTGGCTTTCCTCACAACCTCTTCCTCGTTGACGAGCACTAATCTTTGTTTCCTCCAAGAGAGGTGGTAAGAAAAGCAGTGTGTAAATGCTGATGAAGAAAGGGGACATCGTGAAGTGTACCACAGCTATGACATGTCATTTACACCACAACATCTATGGCCTCTGGCCCTCGTGAGCTGCTAGAATAGCTCATTGGGGAAAGTATTGTTGTGAGTGTATAAAGGCCTTGCTCAAATCCTGGATGTTCGCATCAAACTTGTTAAGTTTGATAACTTTAGCCTTGCTACAGAATCTTCACTGACTCAGAGCTCATACAAATTTCAGCAAACAGCATTTTGCACTGTCCTGCCTGTGCTGTTGAGACTCCACTCAGGACAATTACTGTAAATCAAAGTGATTCATTTGCATTGTCCGCTCTAGCTTGGAGTTTCCTTTTGCTTCCAGTAGTTTGCAGCCAAGCGTCCTTATTCTCCCAATTCCTAACACATAGCCTTTGGTGTCTTGTCTGTCTCCAGGAGCAGAACAAAATACTGAATGAGAAAGTACTTCAAAATGAGAACTCACTGCTTTAAAATTTCCTGGCAATGTATCTTGAAAAATCTGTGTAGGGAAAAAAATGTTAACAATTATAATGCAGATCAAACACCTGATATATGGACCTGAACCGTATAGCTGTTTCCCTTTTAACTTAATGCACAGATACCTCAAACCAAGGATATGAGTGGGCTGAAACAACTAATCACATTTTGGCACAGACAAGTACAAAAGGAAACCCAGAACTACTAATTCAACAGCTTGAAATATCAGCTGCTGCATGCAAGATCTTTACAGAGCTCCTCTGAAGAGAACATACCCTTTTAAAATTGTGAGTTTTCATTTTAAAAATGTCAGAAGATATCTCAGGAAAATTATAAAAGAATCCAGCATCATTGATATAAAGTGTGAATCCACTGAATTCTCATAGACATAAGGTTCCCTTACCTCCACTCCTAATTTCATCACATACATTCCTCTCAGCTATCAGGGTCCTATCACACATTTTGCATATTTTCCGTGCATATGTTCAGAAATGTTATTCAGCAATAAAAACCAGGTCTAAACTGGGAGAAGTGATGTAAGAGAGAGAAGTTCAAGGAGGTATATAATACCAAAAAGCTACAAAGCTGTGTCCCACCATGGCTTCAGGGCTGCGCACATCTCAACACATCTTTACTCCAAACATTTGCCAAGGACCTTCACTGTAGGACTCCCTCTGTGGGTCCTTGGGGACGATATGACTGAAAGCACAAAGAAGCCTATTCATTTGTCCTTCACAGAGAAAGTAGGTGGATAACTACGATTTTGTGTCAGGACTCTTACCTGTAGCTCCTCTGCAGCGAAGGGGGTCCAGCTCTGCTGTTCAGCAGGCATTTCTATGTCACTGTACCCTTTTTCACCAATGTGACATGAATGACCCAAGTGTACCTTCATTCCACTTTTCCTCTGGGATCAGCAGCTGACTTTAGTGACTCAGAAACAGATTCTTCTAAACAGAGTATTATCTAAACATTAGCTGTTCACCAAATGTTATACAGTAACCAGAAAAAAATGAGAAAAAGACTCTGTCGTTCCTTGCCTATAATGTATCCTTCCCTACAGAATTTAGGTAAATTACACTTGAGAACAGCTACCTCGTTCCTTCATGTGTAGGAGGGGAAGACAGCTTCTCCTCTGGCTTGTTCTCTTTGTAACTGCAGGCTTTGATCCTGTGCTCGGAGTAGATGAAGAGAAGCCTAACAGAGTGGGCAGAGGAAGACATACAGGCATGCCCTCCATTATTTCCTCTACCACTGACCTCTTCCAGGTTGCTGGTATATTTGTATTAACCTTATCTGTCATAATTTTTCTTTCTTTCAAAAAAATAATTCTTCCTGTTCTCACCTACAGAACAGCAAAAAGTACATAAATTATACATAAAAGTGCATAAATTGGCATAATTTGCTTTACTTTTTATATAAATAATAAACCTAGAAGCCCAATTACTGACCTCTTAAATAAAGTGTCAGCATATGCTTCCTTGACACATATGGAGTTCACCACTGCTGAAAGGGGAAGATCCAAGTCTTGTCCTTCCTTCCCTCCTGCTGGCTGCATATCTTCCTTCTACCTTGTGCTGGCTCTGCAAATATGAGTCAAAGAGGTAGTAAAAAATGCAATCCTTCAAAAAGTGAATAGTGTTCTGCCCTATTAAGAAACCCGGAAAAGGATCTGACAAGCATCTCAATCAGCACATCCAGGAACTTGGACCCTGCAATTAGAAGAGAGGAAGAAATAGAGGGGAGGGCAGGAAGGGTGAGATGTTCTTTTGGAGCGAAAAAGCTCAGTGGCTGTCTGAGTCCATAAGTAAAACACTGAAGGAAGAAAGGGGGAATATCAAGTTTGAAGGCTGCTGATAATAGCAGCATCTCAAACCCTTCTCAGTCCATGGGATGGCTTTGGAACTGTCCTGGCAAATATCTCTTACTGCTCATGTACAGCTACTGTCCTATGGATCTTTAGCTCCTCCTGTCCAGCTTCGACAAAGCTGCATTTGAGGAAAAGTGACTGAACATACATTAAAAATGAGTTGCTAGGAAAAAGGAAGCATTTCTTTACTGCAGTAATATTCTTCAATGTCAAGGAGCTGCTGGCAGTGCTCGGCCTCTGGGACTATGCCTAAAGAGCTACAGCAGAAAAAAAGCTCTTTCTTTTATGTGTAAGTGCCAGGATACTGTTCCCCATCCCACCCAGGCACAGAAATGGCCCTAGAGATCCATATATTTTAACCTTCAGACTTTATTACCATTAATTATATCTGGAAGTGAAGCCAGGATCCCCCAGAACACGGTAGCAGGAACAAAACACAATCATCCATCTGCCTAGCAACATGGGTTGCCATGAGTACTTCTCCGTCCTCCACAGGCAGCAGGGACTTGCCACTGAAAGCCAAGCCAAGCTCAAGAGCCCCTTGAAAAAGGGCAAAGAGAGCCTACTTCCTCTGAATGAACACATTCCATCTCCAAGACCTTCCTCTGGAGCCTAGAATGTGTCAGCAGCAGCCTGAAATTTGGAAATGAGGGACTTCTGGAGTACTGAGACAATGCCAGTGGAATTGCTCTCGCAAGAAGCAAAAGCAATGACGTTGGGAACATCAATGCTGTTAAAACTCCATTCTTCACTTCTCTGTTCTTCTGAGAAAGTTCTTTCCATGTTTTAATACCATGCCAAAAAGATTCCCAATAACGTACTGTCAAATCACTGACTTTTCACACTTATGAAGAAAAGAAGAAAAACCTGTGAGTGGTACTGAAGACATGGAATTACTTTATAACATCCCTAGCTCAGGAAATCTTTGAATCACAAACCGTTTGTAGGAGGTT